GCTAGGTGAAGGACAATCCTTCTGGTGATTTTAGAGGGATGTATCGGCATATCTCAAAAGGATCGTGGACTTTTTCAGACCAAGATTATGGATGGCAAGCATCTGATACCACTGCCGAAGCATTAAGGGTATCTAACTATTATATGCAATAAGATTCAAACTTCTTGTGATTACTGAAAAGTAGTAAGATGATAATGCTAGTAGATTTGCCTGATAACTTGTTAATTCTGTTTCTCTAGTGCTGCCTTCTCTTCTCTACAATGCCTTCTGAATTAGTTGGTGAGGCAATCGAACCTGCACGACTGTATGACTCGGTGAACGTTATTCTTTCCTTACAGGTAAAAAAATGAGAAATGTACATGTCTTGTACAAAATTTCCAAGATAAACTTATATCTTGCACCGAATAGAGAATCCAATACATGACTACCTGTGTTATAAATTCATCTTTTCTAAATTTAGTCACTCGTCATTTGGCTCATTTCTAGTTATATTGAGATCCATTTTAAATAAAATTGCAGAGCAAAAATGGCGGTTTAACAGCCTGGGAGCCTGCAGGTGCCTCATAGTAATTGGAGGTAAGTAAAATAATTGTTTTAGTTTGAGATTCACAATGTAGGAATTTTATCTATTTGCTTCATTTAATGGTTGTTAACAACAGTCAACTTCTTCTATAGTCATCCAAACCCTGAACATTTAACTTTCTTGTTCTGTTATATTCCAGTTGCTCAATCCTACTGAAATTTTTGAGGACGTCGTCATTGAGCATGTGTAAGATTTTTCTCTAGTTTCTCTATGTCCCGTAAGCCTTTTCCCCATTGTTAGACTCCATTTTACAGCTTCACACTGATTACATGTCAATCCAGGTATGTTGAGTGCACTGGCTCATCAATACAAGCACTTGTTCATTTTAAGAAGCTATACCCTGGACACCGAACCACAGAGGTTGATAATTTCATTGATAATGCTGTTAAATATGTTGAAGATGTACAGAAGCCTGATGGTTCATGGTATATGATATTTCTCTTGTGAGTCTTTGAACTTTCTGCTCTATCAATACATATGATATGATTAATTATGTCAACAGGTATGGTTGCTGGGGTGTGTGCTTCACATATGCTTCCTGGTTTGCTCTTGGAGGGCTTGCTGCAGCAGGCAAGACTTACAGCAACTCTGCAGCTGTTCGTAAAAGCGTTGAATTTCTGTTACGAAGACAAAGGTTTGATGGTGGTTGGGGAGAAAGCTACCATTCTTGTCCTGACAAGGTAACGTAAAAGAACAATAACTACACCAATGTCTCAATTTGTGCATTTTTAAGGTCAGTTATATGTTATGTTTCTCAGAATGTCACTTGGTGCATGTCGGATCCTCCAAAAGTTGTACATTTTTGGACGATCTGCAACAACATTTTTGGAGAGTCCACGCAACATAGTAGGTTATATGAACTTTGCACATGCATCCTACTCCATTTGGTACCGTTTCATTCCAATTCTGAATAATTTAAGTCAAGTTTTCTATTGACATGCATTTTTACCCTTAAAGAAGAGGATGAAGTACAAAGATGACTGGAAAAGATAACTGTGACTTAGCTTTGTATTTTTTCAAACAGTTATATAGAGAGCTTGAAACAGAACACTCAAATCTTGTACAAACTGCATGGGCATTGATGGGATTGATTCACTCTGGCCAGCTTAATTAATTCCTTGTTACTATTAGTAAAAGACATAATACATAAACAGACACTCAAAACTCGACTCTCAACTGACAAGTAAGCACTACAACTTTGTGAGTGCACATCTAGGCACTTCAACTCGTTCCATTGTGTCAGTTGAACACTTCAACTTACAAATGATCATCTAGACACCTCCAAAATTTATGTGCCACGTCAGTGTCTGGTGTCCATGAGTCACAATGAACACGAATTGGAGTGTTTAGTTTCCGGTTGAGACCAAGTTGAGGTGGCTAAATATGCACTCTGTTTATGTATTTTAATTTGCCATTAGTAAATGCTGTAATTTCTTCCGCAATCATTGTAAATTTTTTCTTTAAAAGAGTTCTTTATCAACTCTCCTACTTGGACAGGTTGATAGAGATCCAAGACCCCTCCACCGTGCGGCAAGGCTTTTGATTAATTCTCAGATGGAAGATGGTGACTTCCCACAACAGGTAATTACTCAGTAAATTACAAGTAAAACAAAGGAGAAGATTCTTCGACTGTTAAAAGAACAAGTTGTTACGTATTGGAATGAAATAGACTGGAAATAAACGAAGCAAACATAGATGATTCATTTAGTCGACTCAAACAAACTGGTCATATTTGATTGATATTGATTAGTGGAGAAAAGCTCAAATATGTCGTGGAACTTTCAGTGAAGAGTGGCGCGAATGTGGACTTTTTGTCACAATGATGACATAAATAAGCCCAACTATTAACATATGCCCATATGGCATGACTGAGCCATTTCTGGAAGTTCGATGACGTGTTTGAACTTTTTTCCTTGATTAGTTACAATAAAGAAACAAGCCCTTTCTAAAAGAAGAGAGATTGCTAAAATCAGTTTTATCAAAATATTCCTTTTATCTGACTGTGTTTCACTTCATAAATATATGTAGGAAATAACTGGAGCTGTCATGAAGAATTGCATGTTGCACTATGCAGCATATAGAAATATATTTCCATTGTGGGGTTTGGCTGAATACCGCAAAAATGTCCTAGTACCATTAAAAACAACTAAATATATATTATCTGACTATGTGTATTAATTTATGTTGGAAATTAGTTTTAAAAACGAGTTCACAAGATTTATGCGCCAATAAAAGTTGAGATATACAACAACAACAATATATCAGTATAGTTCTATAAATGAGTTTGGAGGAGGATATATGCCGACCTTCTCTTTATATATTTAGCAGGTATAAAAAGGTTGTTTTGATCAACAGATCCTTGACTTAAGTTGATACATATATGTCTACAATAACATATCTAGTGAAATCTACATGAAGTATCTAGGGAGGATAGAGTATACATAGTCTTTATAACTACCTCGTAGAGATAGATAGACTATTCCAGATAGACACTTGACTCAAAAGAAAGAAAAAGAATTTGAAGCATGGTTATTAGAAAATAAGATGGAAAAATTCATAAACAATAGATAGTAATAAACACTGAAGGACAAATAAACTATGTGATTACTAAATAATATTAGTATAAAGGAGAAACAAAGAGGAGGTTAGCCCTCTGCCTTCTCACACATGAAGTGCGATATCAGTTCACTACATACTAGCCTTCTATCATAATCATCGTCTGCCATACCTTCTTATATAGAGTAATATCCTCAATAAGTTGAGGTTGTGATGTGTCCCTTCTAATCACCTCCCACTCATATTTTTCTTCGGCCTACCTCCACCCTTTTGTAACTTCTATTATAGCAAAATTTGGAAAGATTTTGTCCGCAATTTACAGTCTACAACCATATCTAGTAGAAAGTTTGTGGTAGGCACAGTTCTCAAAAGTCAAGTTATATTGGTTTATAATTGGCCACCTAGGATATTTTAGGTTGTGTTTACCTAACTATATTGTTAGTGTTTAAGAAAATGGACTTTGGGCTCACAACTAAGCTAGTTCATGCAATGAAAATTTTCTAAAATTATATGATGATATGAATAAACGATAATTCTTTCCATCAACCAATTTGAGTCTATAGCATTTCCGATACACAGACCTACATTTAGAGGGTAGACTCATAACTTAGGGGCCAATATTGAGTTAGCTCATAAGGTGATTATCATGTCTTATTCTCTATTTCAAAAGTTAGTTCGTAAGATAATAGCCATCTTAAATCATATAAAAATGACAACTGATTAATTCTGTCAACTAATATGTGATTATTATCATTAGTGTCCTGATTGGAAGGATTTGGATTGATCATTGCTCTATGTGCCCTCTCAACCTATATGGAGAAGTCTAATTTCTTCTGTATGATTGGCTAAAATATTATTTTAAAATAATTCAAACATTATTTTAGTAGAAGATAAAAAAATAATGAAGAAAGATGGTCAGGACACCTATTGGACACGTGTTTGCTACTAAAGCAATACATATATATTTGAAATGAACATTAAATGTCAGGACACCTATTGTACACATATATACCTTTAAAATACATTATTAAATAGTTCAGGGGGTAAAAAATACGGTATTAAATAGTCTAGGGAGGTAATAGGTCCTCATGAAAGTTTAGTATCGCAACAACAAATCTGATCAAAATTGGGATATTTTTCAGACCCTTGTCCCAAATAATTTCAATCTACATGCATGATAAAATAATTTTTACTCAAAATTTTTATTTGTATCAAAAAGAATCTGTTACTTTTTCTATTTTAACTTTTAAAATTTAAATTAAAAAATTTAATCATAATTTTTTTCATATATCTTAGATATTCAATTTTTGTGATTTATAATTCTTTTTACATAGTTTCCTAATATGTTATTTCAAAAAAACTTAAAGATTTTATGTTTGAAATTTTGGCTCAATTTAAACTGTTTGGCTCTTAAAATTTAAAATATACATTGAGATAAAAGAGTACTATATTTATGAATAATTTATCAAGAATACAGTAAGTAGAAGAAAAGAAAGTGATATGAAATTCATAAACTTAAGATTCTGACTTTTGTGTGCATAGACTATATAATCCAGGACGAAGGATGTTCAACTGATCATCGATCGTAACTTTGTAGCTTCAGCGCTTCGATAGTTTGAACTCACACCTATATTATATAATATATTATATGAGATCATTATTAATATCACTAAATTGTAAGCCTTGTGAATAAAGAAGAATTTAAGAATGTGGAAGTTGAAGATTGCAAAAGGACAAGATGGTCCATACATGTACAGTACAAATAACTATGTTGGACGACAAACATGGGAGTTCGACCCAAACGCTGGAATGATAGAAGAACATGCCGAGATCGAAGAGGCCCGTCAACATTTTTGGAAAGTTATAAAGTTAAGCCCAATAGTGATCTTCTTTGGAGAATGCAGGTCAATAACTAACTTTATTTTTCTCTCTCTTTTTCTTTATTGCAAGATAGATTTTTGAGTCTTGTGATAGTAAGCTAGTGTTTGACCTCAAATTTTCAAATATTTTTGTTAAGTCATTTTTTGTTGAAGTTTTACCATGTGTTAGGCTATAAATTTTGGGACAAATATTTGATTTTTAGAAAGTGATTGATATCTATAAGTTATAAAAGTTATTAAAAACACACATAAGTTTGTATTATCACATGTTCTGTGAAAAGTCATGACAACGAACACAATTAATATGAATCTGAAAAAAGAGAAAGAAAACAAAAGGAAAATAAATTGATTTACATGTAGTCGAGACCTAGATTGAGTGTCTTATATATGTTATAGCTTTAATTGAGTGGAAAGTTAAAATTACGCCTAAAGTATTCCAAAGTCTAATTTTTCGAATTTCATATATAACTTATATATGCTTATATTAGAAAAGGAATGTATAACTTTTCTTACAGAAATATTGCCCGTATACATATTAAGAAAAATATAAGTAATTTTTTTCCTAATACAACAAAGCCCTTGTATATACTTACCGATTTTTCTTTAACTACTTCTAGAGGATATTTATTATAGAACTATTCATAATAGTTATATTTTTTCATGAACAAATGTATATTTTCAATTTATTACAAAATATCCAATAGTGTAAGTATCATACCTCAATTATGGATTTCAATTGTTCCCATTTCTTATGTAATGATTCAGCTAGGAAATGATATTAATATAAATCTTTTTATTAAAAAAATAATTAATTTAACTTGTTTCGAAATTTAAGAAAATAAATAAAAATTCAATTGTTCCCATTTCTTACGTAATTATTTTTTAAACGAAGTAATATTGTTGCAGTTTCTAAGAGAGAAGAATTTCAAACAGAGAATTGGAGCAGTAAAAGTAGAAGAAGGAGAAGAAATTAGCCATGAAATTGCTACAATTGCATTGCGTAGAGCTGTCCATTTCTTCTCAGCTTTACAGGCTACTGATGGACATTGGCCTGCTGAAAATGCCGGTCCTCTCTTCTTCCTTCCACCTCTCGTAAGTTTTTTTCATTTGGATTTGTAAAATTCTTTTTGACAAAATGGATGGACTAAAGCCAAAATTGTTTCAGGTTATGAGTATTCCCAGCTGAACATCGAAAGGAAATTCTTCGGTATATATACTGTCACCAGGTATATGATTTAATGCTACAATGACTTTTTCTTTTCTTTTCAAATTCTTAGAATTTTATGTTTAACTTATTGACATAATACATAAACGTGCTCTTTTAGCTTGGTTTTAGCAGACCTTAGTGCGGTGAGTATGTAGTAAATTTGTATAAAGTTAAATAAGTACACACATATTCTACGTGGCAATTCGCATGACATACACCCGAACTAATGTGTGGCGTCCTACATGTATTATGCCACGTAGGATGTGTGTGTCTACTTGTTTGATTTTATACAAGTTTAAGTGTCTATTTATGCACACTCAAAGTTGAAGGGCATAGATGTCAGCTGATGCCAAATTAAAATGCATATTTATGTATTATGCCTTAAAAAAAAATATAAACATAGTTCTATTTTGCTTTCACTGGTTAATAATCTGTTTGTAAAGGCGTTGAATTTCTGTTACAAAGACAAAGGTCTGATGGTGGTTGGGGAGAAAGCTACCATTCTTGTCCCGACAAGGTAATGTAGAAGCACCAAAGCAACGTAAAACAACAATTATACACCTACGTCTCAATTTGTGCATTGTTAAGGTCAGTTATATGCTATGTTTCTCCGTATGTCACTTGGTGCGTATCGCATCCTCCGAAAGTTGTGCATTTTTGGACGATCTGCAACAACACTTTTGGGGAGTCCTTGCAACATAGTAGTGTGTGTCTTTTAATAGTTTTGAGGATCTTATAATAGTTTTATTGCTCGTATTACCTTACCAGATTGTGCATGTACTTGAGCATGACTCGAGGCAATTTATGTTTATTTTGACAGAATAGTAATACTAGAAGAGCTTTTACCGATGAAAGTAACTGATGCTCAGCTATATGTCTTTGTTTCCCTTGTCTTGGAATACTTTATTTGTCTTTAAATTCATTGCCTTAGGAGTTTAGCAAATGCAGCTGTTGTTTAAAGCTTTCCCTTTGAAGTGTGCAACATGTTAAAGTATCAATAGACATGTAGCAACCGATGATGTTGGTTATCTTCAACATGTTCAAATAGTTGACCTGAAATTTGGGAAGATCCAGTCGTGTTGATGTGACTATATTGAATAACCATATTGTTGTACGATAGATCGATACATGACATGGTTTTCTTTGAGTCAGAGAAGATATCTATAAGGTTGTTTGGTAGGTGACATAATTCATATGAGTCCAACATGATGCTTTCTGCAGTTCATGACTTAGCTTGGCCATCCTTTAGAAAGGATGCTTGGTTACTCTTTCGCGCTGTTGATTTAGCTTGAATACGAATTAATGCTGCCAATTTGTCCGATTTTGATCCCTGAGAAATGTTTGTCGAATTTTTCTCCTAAGTCTGCTTTATTGGTTGATGATAGAGTAGGCTTGAATTTCTGGACTTAGAAGCAGCTCTTTCAGGAAAGTCAGTTCTAGTAATGAAGTGATGAGAAATGGCAGTATATGCTTTTCTGAGCAATGTTATTGTGTAGGATATTGGTTGAAGATGGGAGATAAAGGAACTAGAGCTACTAATAGGTCATTGTAAACTACCAACAACAACAATAACAACATACTCGGTGCAATCACACAAGTAGGGTATGAGAAGGGTAGGATATTCACAAACCTTACTCCTTTGTGGGGTTAGAGAGATTGTTTCTGATAGACCTTCGGCTCAAAAACACGATTATAAGAAAATAAGACAGCAAAAACAAAATACAAAGCCAATGGAGCAACAAATAGTAATAAACAATGAAGAACAAAGAAACTATATGATTCCTAAATAATATTAGTAATAAGGTGAAACAGAAAGGTTAGCCCCTGCCACGCCCACATAAAGTGCGACAACACACGGTTACCTACTAATCTTCTATCCTAATCTTCGACCTCCATATCTTACTATCGAGGATCATGTCCTCACTAAGCTAAAGTTGTTGTATGTTCTATCTAATCACCTTCCCCCAATTCTTCTTCGGCCTACACCTGCCCCTCCTAACTTTTATTACAACCACCTTAAACACCTTCTTAATTACTGACATATCCACACACCTCATCTTTACATAATTTGAACCATCTCAATCTCATCTCTCTTATCTTGTCTGCCTCGGAGGTCATTCCCCTTGAGTCAACTACCCTTGAGTCATAATTTGTAGCGCTCAAATTTGTGTAAGAAGTAAAAGGTTATGACAACAATGAAAGATGTGAAATTTCCTAAAGTTGAGGCACCTTTGTAATGTTTACTCAAAGGTTGCATTTCATTAATTCAGTCTACAGCCTTTGCTAGCAAAAAGTTTGTGGTAGGTACAGTTCTCTAAAGTCAGATTATATTAGTTTGTGATTACCTAGGATATATTATGTTGTGTTTACTGTTTTCATCTCGAATAGTTTGGGATTGAGGCATAATTATAATTATTGTTGTTGCCTCCTCCAGCGTCAACCCCATGGTCATACATACACCTAATCATGTTGTTAGTGTTTAAGAAAAGGACATTGGGCTCACAACTAAGCTAGCTTATGAGGTAAGAATTCTCTATATAAATAGACAGTAATCCATTCCCTCAACCAATTTGAGTCTGTAACATCCTCTGGCGCACAAGCTTGAATAGTGGGAGGGAGGACTATATAACCTAGGGGACAACATTGGGTTAGCTCATAAGGTGATGATCATGTCTTAGTCTGATCCAAGAACAAGAACATCTTTGACTCTGATACCATGTATTCCAACAATGTATGCGTATTTTATTTTGGGTGGTTTTTTTAATTACACAGATGACTTTTAGAATTTTGGCCTTTAAAAAAATGATCTAATTAATGATGTGACCAAATCATAATTGATCACGTGTAAAAAATAGTTTTGCATAATTGAAGTTAAAAAATAATGGCATGGGTGAATCTTTTCTCAAAGTTCGATGACATATTTGAGTCATTTTCCTTATATTTTTCACACTGTCAATACACAAACTCCCCTTAGTTTTAACAATAAAGACATAATATTTGATGTATAAGTTAGGTGTAGACCACAAAATTTAAATCCTACTTTTTGTCGTGAACAAATAGAGATGGCTAATAGAGAGAAACTGTTGTAAAGCAAATCTGCCTAAACCCACAAAACTTTTAGTCCGCATGAATCCATCCTACATAAATTCACCCCGCATAATTTGCTTTAGTTAGTTGATATTATTATTTATTATTATTACAAAAACCTAACACTTGTAGCTTAAAAACTTGACAAAATTTCTCATAGCACAAAGTCAAATCTGACCCGTTGTCATCCCTATGAACAGAATTGTATATTTATGTTGGGAGTTAGGTAAAGGACGAGTCCATATTTCATATAATTCTGAACTTATGTGCTAATAAGAGTTAATATATGCAATAACATACCAATATTTTTTTTTGGTTTCCCACCCGGTGTCCGAAGCCCATGAATTCGGATCGCGCACTGCAGGGCCCATTTGAGGGTGGCGCTCCCAACATGATTTTCTCCATACCGAAGGCTCAAACTCGAGACCTCTGGTTAAGGGTAAAACACTTTCACCACTACACCACAACCTATTAAAATGTACAGTAGATTCATTCAATTGAATTCCTATATAAATTCAATTTTCTTCATTCAATTCCCAAAAATTTGAGATAAGATTAATAATATTCGTTGAAAATGGCGAAAGCAAAAGTGACGATGGAGGTTGGGAACGACGGCGTTGCGGTAATTACATTCGTCAATCCGCCGGTGAATGCCCTTGCTATTCAAAGTAAGCTTAAAATTCATCGAAAAGGAATTTTGATTTGTTTTGTTGAAGCGGAATTTTGATTTTGAGTTTTGATTTGGTTGTAGTTTTCGCTGGGTTAAAGGAGAAATGGAATGAGGCAGCTATGAGAAATGATGTCAAAGCTATTGTACTCACTGGTAAAGCTCTTGATCTTCCTTTATTCTTCTTCTATTATGGTTTATTTCTTCGTCTTACTGTTTTTTTTAAAAAAATAATTAATTTTTTTAAATTTTGATCTGTTTGATTTTTGATAGGATTTGGTGTTATCAATAAATAGTGATCGATTTAGGAATTTGGTTAAACTTTCTGAATTGCGATTTGCGGAGCTGATGTTTCGATGAATTTTTTTGTTATGATTGCTAGTAGGGGTGTCAAATAGGCAGGTTGGATTGAAATTTGAGATATTAAAAAGGGAAAATTGTATATAATGACAAACTATTAATTCAAATTAAATGTTATAACTACAGTTTGATTTAATTGTGCCCCGTAGCAAACTGTTGTCAATCGCCTCTCTACCTGAAATTCTTGCTTGCCACTCTCCCTCTCTTGCTCTCTAGTCTCTCCCTCGCCTCTCTCGCTTTATACAAACAAAAATGTATAAATTGTATTTCTGTTTGTATAAAGCGAGAGAAAATTGTATATATACATGCGAATACATATATCTACGTCCTATATACTTATAATTATACAATACAAATATTCCCCTGCCCAATTCTCTTTTGCCTTTCTCTCTTTTCTCAGTTTATACAAACACAGATTATACAAAATACAATGTATAATTTATGTTTGTATAAAGCGAGAGACAGAGATTTGATATACAAACGTTTTATTCGATTCAATTGTATACAAATTCAAATTTTATGCAGATATATAAACACATAAAATTGCATTAAGAGGCTGCCAACGATTTATACAAATGAGAGGCTGACAACAATTTATACAAATGGTCTGCCAGCGAATTATACAATTTGATACTCCATAGCAAACATAAAGTTTGCTATGGAGCGCAATTATACAAACTATAACTATAACATACAAATTTGATTTTTATGTTTGCTATATGTGAAAGTTGCTCATAACAAAATGAGTTGAAATAGAAATTGGGTTAGGTCTTGACCCGCCCAAGTTTACTTTGAGCTCAAATTGGTTGGGTTCAAATGGGCTAAAAAATGGGTTGGGTCTTGACCTGCCCAATTTGAGCCTATTAATCTCAATAATTTTAACATAGTGATATTTAATTTTTATAATCACAATTCGAATTTCAGTTCAAGAATTTTTTAAAAAGTAACAAATGGATAGATAAATCCTAAAAGATGTTAAATAGATAATAATTTATACCTTTAATATAGGAACATATTTTAGTAAAACGTTTTAAAACGGGTTGAAATTGGAGATTGAATTGAGCTCAATTGAGGATTCTCTTAAAATGGGTTAGGCTTTAATGGGTTGAGATTGTAATGCAGATTCAATGGAACAGTAATATTGATGAACAATAATCAATGGAACAGTAGAAAAAGGGGAAATTCAGGGAATAGAAAATGAGGAAGACAACTAGTTGCTAAGCTAACTTACAACTAAGAGATATATGGCAAAACAAGATAATCCCATTTCATTTTCATCAGTACAATATATATAGGACCACAACCCTAGCTGATTCATAGAGTATGCTTGCAACAGTGTCCTCACCTACTACTGCTTCTGACAGAGCTATGCCAGCTCATACAAAGATGACTAAAGTGCAATTAAACAAAATATAATACTACTACTTCAGGGATTAAAGTGCTAACTTAACAACTTCAGCCACTTTCATTCTGCATCATTCCTCCATCCTTACGAACTTCCTTGTCCTCAAGGAAGAACTCTGGGAACCTGATCTTCATAGCCGTAAAATCTTCCCATGTAGCTTGCTCTTTGGACATCTCCTTCCACTGAATCAGAACCTGAACCACTGCCTTATTTCCTTTCTTAATCATTCTTCTTCCTTCAATGCTCTGGGGCTCCACACAAAAGGGGCTTGCTATGTCAATGATTGGTGGATGATGGGTAGTGTCTGGTAGTTGATGGCATAACTTCAACTGAGACACATGTATAGTGGGATGGATGGCGACATGAGCTGGTAGAGATAGCTTGTATGCTACTGTTCCAATCTTTTCTAAGATCTGATAGGGTCCATAAAACTTTGCTGACAGTTTATTGAATGCTTGTTGAGACACTGTCACTTGTCTATAGGGCTGAATCTTCAAATACACCCAATCCCCTACCTTCAATTGCCTATCACTTTTATGTTTGTTAGCTAAAGACTGCATCCTTTGTTGAGCTCTGTGTAGATGGAAATTGAGCCTTAAATTCTCTGGTGATCAGACTCTTATCCACTTCTTCTTCAATAGCTTCCCCTGGTAGATATGGCAAATGGATAGGTGGAGCTTGACCTATATAGTGCTTCATAAGGGGTGGTTTGTATAGCTGACTAGTAGGTGGAATTATACCACCATTCTGCTAGTGGCAAGTATAAAGCCCAGTCATGCTGACTATCTGAGCAATATCACCTTAAATAAGTCTCCAATATCCTGTTAAGGACTTCAGTTTGACCATCTGTTTGTGGATGGTAAGCTGAAGATGTGCTCAATGTTACTCCATGTAATGAAAACAGTTCTTGCCAAAACCTACTCAAAAATATGGGATCCCTATCACTCACAATATTTTCTAGCATGCCATGGAGTTTGAACACCTGGTCCATGAATGTTTGAGCCATAGAAACAGCCGTGTAAGGATGGTTGAGTGCCATAAAATGGTAAATTCTCTGGTGATCAGACTCTTATCCACTTCTTCTTCTTCAATAGCTTCCCCTGGTAGATATGGCAAATGGATAGGTGGAGCTTGACCATATAGTGCTTCATAAGGGGTGGTTTGTATAGCTGACTGGTAGGTGGAATTATACCACCATTCTGCTAGTGGCAAGTATAAAGCCCAGTCATGCTGACTATCTGAGCAATAGCACCTTAAATAAGTCTCCAATGTCCTGTTAAGGACTTCAGTTTGACCATCTGTTTGTGGATGGTAAGCTGAAGATGTGCTCAATGTTACTCCTTGTAATGAAAACAGTTCTTGCCAAAACCTACTCAAAAATATGGGATCCCTATCACTCACAATATTTTCTGGCATGCCATGGAGTTTGAACACCTGGTCCATGAATGTTTGAGCCACAGAAACAGCCGTGTAAGGATGGCTGAGTGCCATAAAATGGCCATACTTGGTCAATCTGTCTACCACCACAAGGATGGTGGTTTTCCCCTTAGACTTTGGAAGGCCATCAATGAAGTCCATGCTTATGCAAGACCATGAGGTCTTGGGAATAGCCAAAGGTTGTAAGAGGCCCGGAGTTGCTGAGGCATCATACTTACTTCTTTGACAAACTGAGCACTTCCTAACATATTCATTTACATCTTCTCTGAGATTCTTCCAATAGAAAAGAGTAGCCAGCCTTCTGTAGGTATTCTCCATTCCTGAGTGCCCCCCATTAGTGTTATCATGCCACAGTTGCATGATGTCCTTCCTTAGCTGTGCATCTGCTCCAATAACCAGCTTACCATACTTCCTTAGTTGTTGGTTGGTGTAAGTGTATCCCTTTACTGTTTCACCTTGCTCCTCCAGCTTCTGAATAAGAGATCTAAGCTCTTGGTCTTTGTTCCAAAGTTCCATGATCCTATGAAGCAAAGTGTGATCTGCAGGTGCTACTGAAATCATTAGCAATTCAGTATTCACTTGTCTTGATAGAGAATCGGCAGCCTTATTTTCCCTTCCCTTCTTATACTCTATTTCAAAATCAAACTGCATCAATTTTGCTATCCATTTCATCTGAGTCCCAGTATGAAGTTTTTGCTCCAGTAAAAACTTCAATGCTTTTTGATCTGTTCTGATTAAAAAATGTCTTCCCAGCAGATATTGTGACCACTTAGTCACGGCCATGACTAAAACTAATAGCTTTTTGTCATACACAGATAAACCTTGATGCCTTGCAGAGAGCCCCTTGCTCAAATAAGCCAATGGATGTCCATCCTGCATCAATACTGCCCCTATACCGTAGTCACATGCATTTGTTTCAACTACAAACATCAATGTACTATTAGGCAAAGCTAGCACAGGAGCACTTACCAGTGCTAATTTCAACTTCTCAACAGCTGCAGTAGCCTTGTCACTCCAATGATACCCCTCCTTCTTCAAAAGATCAGTCAACGGCTTGCTAATGACCCCATAACCTTTGATGAACCTCCTATAGTAACCAGTTAATCCAAGAAAACCCCTCAACTCCTTTAGTGTTTTAGGTATTGGCCAATTTTTAACAGCTTCTATCTTTTTTGGATCAGTAGCTACACCCTCAGCAGAGATGAAATGACCAAAGTACTCCACCCTTGTTGCCCCAAATGAGCATTTAGCCTTCCTCATAAACAACTTATGTTGTACCAGCAAGTTGAAAGTGATTCTCAAATGCTGCAAATGTTCTTCCAAGCTCCTGCTGTAAACCAAAATGTCATCAAAAAATACCAAAATAAACTTCCTTAGGTAATCTTTGAACACATGGTTCATTAACCCTTGAAAACTAGAAGGTGCATTAGTGAGACCAAAGGGCATCACTAAATACTCATAGTGTCCAGCATGTGTCCTGAAAGCAGTCTTCTGTACATCTTCCCTTGTCATCCTAATCTGATGATAGCCAGAGCTAAGATCTAGTTTAGAGTAGATCCGTGAACCACCAAGTTCATCTAACAACTCTTCGATAATGGGGATGGGAAATTTATCTTTGATAGTCATCTTGTTGAGTGCCCTATAATCTACACACAACCTCCAAGACCCATCTTTCTTCCCTACCAATACCACTGGTGAAGCATAAGGACTAGAGCTTGGCCGCACAATGCCTTGATCCAACATTTCTTGCACCATCTGATCAAGGACATCTTTCTGTCCTGATGAGTACCTATAACACCTAGCATTGACTGGATTGCTACCTTGCTGCAAGGGAATCTTGTGGTCAAACACTCCTCTATGAGGTGGCAAGCCCTTGGGATCCTGAAAGAGTATCTGAAACTCCTTAGTTAATTCCAAGATAGGATTAGCACTAGCATCGGCCTGTGGTTCCTCTCGTTGTTCCTGATCAGTTGGCAATACCCTGATCATGAAAAGTTGACAGCCATTTTGGGCTAGCTTGTCCAACTTCTTGGCCTCCACAATTCTAGTTTTCTCTCTAGTACCTTGTATTACCACTTCCTTGCCTTGATACCAGAACCCCAACGTTAACTTCTGGAAGTTGAGTTTGATGTCTCCTAGAGGAAGCAACCACTGAACCCCCAAAATCATATCGCAAGAACCTAGTGACAGCAACAAAAAGTCATCCTGGAATGTGAGCCCTTGCATCATCCAAATGAAGTTTCTACAAACCTCATTAGTCTGTCTATTGC